GTACGATGATGATGATTGTAATCCAAACCATTGCAGTTTGTTTCTACTACTGTAATTATTTTGAGTAGCTAAATCTTATTTGGTAAATTAGTACCTTCCAGATTCAGTGTGATGTTCAAGTACGTCTCACTATTGGGTCAGGCGAAAACCACTATTTTTCCCTGGTTGACTACTGTTAAAAATTTTTGGTGAGTATTTTGCTAGTTTGTGTGTGCTTCGCGGAGGTCGCCTCAGCATCACTTTAGGCACCGAAATCTGAGTGAGTTGGTCTCGTATGACCAGTATGACCAAATCTTTGACGTAACTCCAAGTGAGAACACAAGTGAAGCAATGGAGACCAAATTTGAAAGATGAAGCATTGAAAAATCAAACACTGGCATGATAAAAAGACGAACACCCTATCACAAAACCAAACTTCGCTGTCCCGTTCCTCGTTTGCATTACACTTCGGGTATCTTCAAACCAGGATATCCATTACGACCCATTCTTTGAACTCATCACTCTCTGTTGATCGGATTGCATTTATTCGTCAGAGAGAAATTGTGCGGACCATTTTAAGTCACGTGAAAACACCCTTTTTCTAACGAACATAGAGTTCTTTGTTTTGTACCTTGAAAACAACGTTTCAGTATAATTTTCATTTTTACTGTTCGGATTAAGGAATACTGTAGTAGCTAGCATATGGAAGATCTGTCTTTTATCTGAAATTGAACTTGCAGTGAAAATATGATCACTGGGACATCGACCGGATTTGAACACAACATAGTTCTGGCACATGCATGCTTCGTGTGTGCTTGTCGTAAGTCAGAAGTCATTCCCTAAATAATCTGGTTCAGTTTATCAGTTGTACACATTCGATCGATTTGAACAAGGTAACCATGTCAATTCACCACAACGGTAACTCGTTCCTGTGTGCCGCCATTTGCTCGGCTACTAGTCCGACCTCATGTGTGATTTGACTTCAGTGGCTTACGCCGAAAGTCGTTTCTAGTACCAACCAGCCTACTCTCAATAAAGGTCACCCTGTTCAGTTGAGATTCATTCATCGTTTAAGTACGTCTTCACCTCCCTCATAATAATGATGATAATAAATCACTTGCCTATAAGTGTGTTAGACAAATCACGGTAAAGTAAACTATAACAAAGAAACCGGTCCATGATTTGCTAGTGATTGGAATACTGTCGGGGTACCAGGATAAAACAGGTGAATTCTTTTGAGGAATTCACAACAGCAACCGTCGGCTTGCTGAAGCCTTTCTCATACGGTAGCGATGCGGTGCGGCAAAACCGCAGTCTGTTCGGGGCCGGTGTCCAGCTCATTGGATCTTGTACATTTTGGGTCAAACATCCCGAGTGCCCAATCCAGGCAATGACCACTTCCAGAATTAGAAAGGTGTGGATGTTGTTCGTACGCCTCTTCTTGGTTGGTTTACTATCAGTGTTTTAACCAGTGTTTCGCTGACCCGGTTGTGGCCGCGCATGTTGGATTTTCGTTTTCTCACTTTGCTGGTAAAACCCCCGCCGCATGAGCACGATAAGTAGGGCATCGTCATGAGAGAATAATTGATACGCCTGGTCCCGTCGGAGCATTTCTTCAAGGGAGTGAAAATGATCAATCACAACCCAAAACAATCTCCGTGACCATAGGGATCAGTCGATTGTTGCTCACCCTCTCAATGGACGATTCTTGTCGATCGCTAAAATCCAACTACACAACGAATCATGAGCCATATATTCTGGGCCCAGAATTGGGTAAACAAACTTTGACTCATCGTCGTGATAGTTCTTCCTAAAGGTATTTGAAAGTTTTGTTTTGCAATGAAAGGTACTCCTGATGGTTCCCGTTCAATTGATTCCCTTCAGCTATAAAACATTTCCATAGCCTAAGTACTGAACAGTTTACAATAATCATTTAATCTTGTTTTAAATGACAACTTCCAGTTCTGTCTAATGAATGATTTTATAATTAATGTCTGTCCCGATGTGTTAGGTCCCTCGGTTCCTGGTCCCATTCAATCTCAGTACTGCTGCCATGCTCCCCAAACGGTGGACCACTCGTGACCGGTTATTAGAAACTCATTATTTCTATGGGAATCCGGGACGCCGAGTTGCGTTTGCGGAAAATCAAGATCTCGTCATTTATGGAACCGAACCTATTCATCCTTTTGACCGCTCGGATAGCGATTACATGCGTGATTTAAATACATCTCACTCACCTCCGTTTTCCAGTTTGGGTCCAATGTCACCACTGATCGATCTGGAATCAACTTACTACTACTTGGACGAAAGCAGTGATGGTTGGGTTGCTGGTGCGGTGAGTTCTCGCAGAGTTAACCTCAAGGTTGTGATGTGGATACACACATTTTTAGATGCGACTCTACAAAATTTTCCTGGATTCACACAACCGCCTTCGCGGTTCTTGCCGCTCGTTAGGCATGCGTATCCAGTAATTTTTTGTCAACTCATTTATTTTTACCCAGGACTGTATATTCGTTACAATAACGTCATTAGCCCTGTGTTTGGACAGCTCTTTCAGAACAAGTCCGTTTATGAATCATTACTATGATTCAATGTTTGCAGGGGGCTTAAATGCTACCAACTGCACCATAAGTGACTTGGGTCTTTTCGAAGATATTTTACAATGAATAGTATGTGAATGACTCGGTGTTCAGTCTACGTCGGGGTTTTGGCGAGGAAGAGACAGAAAAGGTCACTGATAAATATGGAAAATGGGGAAAGCAGATAATCTTGAAGGACTCTGGAAAAGTTCTACAACTGTTTCGAAACACTTCTGCTTTCTTAATTTCTTTTCGATAATCGGTTTTTCAACCACAACAGTACCGCGATTGACACTCAAGTGACGGTAACTTTCAGACAGTAACCGAACGTCACGCTCGCAAGACGCGTGTCCATCGGTGCGTAAACACACACACAACAGTATGCCAACACATAGAACGGTAGTTATCGAATTCACTTATTTATGTGATTTATGTCTAATAACAAGCCGTAAATTGTCTCGTATCGCATGAATGGAAATTTACAATGCAGTGTGCACATATTTTGATGTGCTAACGGGGTGGACCTCATAATTACGAAAATCTGCTATTCAATGATGGAAACCGACTACCCAAGCTCGGGGACTTGGATTGGCGACCCGCATGAGACCCCGCTAGGTTAGGCGTGGTGTTGAACCGAACCACACCAAAGCTACCTATAAAAGTTGGGTGACGGTGTCGGGGCTCAGTACGGTCGTTTGGGTCGACCCGAAGCGAATAACTGGACAAAGCTAGGATTTTGCGACTCCAGTGAAGTTATTGTTTCGGCCGTTGAAAACGGTTCCTTGACTTTCAAGCACCATGTAAAGTGGACATAAATATACTATAAATGTGGACGCAGAAAATAATTCGAACTTTCTTTGAGTATGCGATTTTGGTTCTCGAACGAGTGAACCTTAAAAGCCCATGTGAAATCCCTCAATTCGATCACGTTTTTCCGAGAACTTGCCTACCGTCTGTGATCTGTCTTTGATAAATGTGCCTTTTTATAGGCCATGCAATTGATAACCAAATTAATGGTCATTATTGTTTGGTAGAATGCGGTGAAGTAATATACACTTTTTGTTGCCCATCTCACGGTGTCACTGGTAGTCTCTGTAGGATAGCAGTTTTTTTATGTAGACTGCATAATGACCACTGATACTTGAAACTTACTGCGATGGTCTTGAGAGCAAGTATTGGTCTAAAGCCTTCATCTGAGGTTTCTCCATTTCGAATTCACTCAGGGAGACAGTCTGTGAATGCGAATTTTTTCCATTTGAACACAATCGTTTTCATACCGTTCTGGATTCTGCCCCATTGGAACCAATAATTGATAATCTTTACCATCCGTTCTTCCACGCAGCCTCGCCCTTATCCGTACCCGCATTTGATCACAGTGAATCACAGCCTTCCGAGCGTGTGGTCTGATTTCCTTGAGCCAGAGGCTGAACCAATCACAGCGGAACAACGCCAAGCTATAGCCGTAATGCATTGTTTTGCTGCAGCTGTGGCCCACGCACATCGCTTGGGCTTACCGAGGACGGATTTGTCGACACCGATCTGCGTGGAGGCTGTTTGTTCCGACGGGGTTTGGTTTGATTTCGTGTCTTTTCAACTGAACACCCTTCATGTACCGGAGGCGAATCAATCGAATTATCCACCGGATCTGGTCCGCAATGTGGCCTGGGTTGATGGCAGCCGACGTTTGTTCGATAAGATTGTACCCCGACGAAGTCAACTACGGAACACAAAATATCGGGACTTGGATATGCAAGTTTTTAGTCGCCTTGCTGCAAGCTATTTGTGGGGTCTTGTCGGTCATCACACCAACGTTCGTCTTCCCCTAGGAGAAGCTTCTGAAGTGGGATCATCTATTTGAAGTATCGCAAACCGTCACCGTAATTACCCCGTCTGTTACAGTCCTCAAAATTCCACTGTATATGATACCCTATTCCGTCCCACACCAATTCATACAAAATGAATACATAAAAAAACTCGATTAGCGAATTTAATGGTTTTTCTCATAACCGTCGGTTCAACATTCGGGTACCAGATGAAGCCATCGGCAAAACCTACATACTGATATCACTGAACTAATTTGCATTTTTTATTACACGAAAGTGATCCGAAGATATACTTTAAGTGGGAAGGTATGGGGAACATTCAGGCTAGAGCCGGCTTGTTGATTCTGCGTTTAAAAACAGATGTTGTACATTGGAGGGAAGACCGAAAGGGGGAGAGTTTTCCACAGTTGTGCTGTTCTTGGGAAAAAAGATGATTAAAAGTTAGAAATGCGACACCTAAGGATAGTCACTTGAAATGGGTGGCTAGCCGCTTGTGCGCGGGATCTACGAGGAAGAACAAGTGGGAGAGGAATAGATGCGAAAAGTTGATCAGAGCAAAATCCAAATTAGTATCGATAGAACAAGGATAAAGAAGCAACTGCCCGACGGTTAACTAGTGACTGCAAGTTGGATATTAGGGACGAGTCGTTCATGAAACGGATGGCCTGAGATTGAACCCGATCAAGAAGAGATAGTGAGTAGACAAAGCCCCACCCAACACATGGCTGCAGTAGTCAAGTATAGGGCGAATCTGAGCTTTGTAAAGCGAGAGGAGGTGAATGGGGTTGACGAAACGTCTGGCGCATAAGAGGAAAACAATTTTGCGAGCAGCGCGGGAAACAAGTAGAAAAATATTAGGTGACCATGAAAGAGAATAAGGTAAGCAAAGACCCAATAGGTTGCATGATCTTGTGGAACGGAGAGTTTTCGAGTTGAAATTCAAAAAAGGGGAGAAAGATGTGTGTTTAAGAGAAATGAACATGAGGGAAATTTTACTAGCATTGAACAAAATGCGGTTGCTACAGCCCCAAGCAGAGATAAGGCCCAGATCAGAATTTAGGGAGAAACTAAGGGAGGAGCGGTTGTCACTAATGCTGGAGTTAGCGATGCGCGAAGAGGAATATGACAGAGAAGAGTGTAGAGTAGCGTCATCGGTAAAGGATTTGAAGTTGAAGAAAGAAGGTCATCAATAAAAAATCAGAAAAAAAGAAGGGGAAAGTACAGAACCTTGGGGAACACCAGCATTCACAGACGCGGAACGAGACATGACCCCATCTACTCTGACGGAAATGCTGCGGTCCTTGAGATAGCTTGCTGTCCAGGACACAAGTTCCGAAGGAAAGCCAAACTTGGGTAGCTTAGCCAATAAACCGGCGTGCCAGACACGATCAAAAGCTTTCGATATATCCAATGACACTGCATGGATTTCCCCGTGGTTGTCAAGTGCAGCTGACCATGTATGCGAAATGAGCGCCAGAAGATCAACGGTAGATCGATGTGATCGAAAACCGTACTGGCGGTTGCTGAGCATATTGTTCTGCTCCAGGTGGTGGCGGAGTTGATCAGCAAAATCTGATTCCGTAACCTTCAAGGTGGGGCGGTAGTTGTTTGGGTCAGAGTGGCCGCCGCGTTTGGGGATTGGATATATTTCTTATATTTTTCATGGGATTGGGAATATCTAAGAATTTGGAGATAGACGGAATAGACAACATAGGAGGGGAGCCAGTTCTGGGGCTCACATTTTGAGGACAATGGGAGGAATCCCTTCGGTTCCAGGTGGCTTGTGTGGGTCCAGCGACAAGAGGATCTGGCTTATTTTTCGGGTGGAAATGGGCGGTGTGAAAAGATGGTTTGCCGTAGGGTATGTGCAAGGTTGGATGGGTGATTCGAAAAATAAGCCAGATCCTCT